TTTACCTTGCTTCAATCTGAGGGCATGTCTCCTGGGTGGTTTCATCCCGGGGTATCACAATTTCCTTGTCATTCTATATATCTGTTTCCCCCCTTTCGTAATCAGGGCTATCTTGTAAACGTACGACGTATGAACACCCTGGTTGTGAAGAAGTATCCACATTCAAATTCGGCTGATCTATAGTCTTGGTAAAAAAAAAAAAAATTGCTATTCAAAGCTAACTAGTTAATATCACTTACCTGGTAGTACGATGAGTTATTGAATTTCTTATTTTCTGTAACACGAAGTTCACTGCATTCTTTGTCATCCTGAATCTATTAAAGAATTCATCGTTATCCCATTCATGAAAATATTCCTGTCTGGTTCTAAAAACCCTTTCCTTGTTAATATGTAAAGCTACTAACTCAAGGAAATCTTCATCATCTGTTAATTTCCCTAAATAATTAGGTAAAAATTCGTCCATTTCGATCTATCTCAATACACGGTTAAACAACGTGCAGGTTATATTATCAAATGAACGTTGTTCAGCTCTGAACCCTGTTTAACCCGAGCTCAACGACCGTTTAGAATTGATCGACGTTCATCACTTGATCTCGGATCAATAGAGATTAAAAAACGCCGATATTTGTGTTGAACTCCGTTCAGTACTGAACCAAGGTTAAACGAAGTTGGTGCAACCGCCCTAACTGTTTAACTGATTCACTTAAGCTTTGAATGTTCAAGCTGGGCCTTGTACACCTTTTACCAGGCCCTGAGCTAAAACAGAGGTTTTAGACAATGATATATTTTTTTCGGAAGAAACTTCCTCTGTAACTTCTGAGAAGATTTGCAGAAACTCTGTAGCTTCTTTGATGACTTTTCAGTCATCATTCTCTAATAATAATTTGGGGTTGCAAATTGCTAAAGCCAAGATTACCACTTCCTTACTTTTGTAAATGCAGTCCAACATTTCGTATGTTGAATTCTGAGTTGATACGTCTGGTTTTAATTTTAAAACTTTCATACCTAAACTCTTTTGAATTTCTTCTAATTTGGCCATGACATTTGTGCTTTGTTTAAAATATTGCCAACCAATTTGACTTTGGCAACAGTGTCACCTATAGAATCTTTAACAGACTCCTGTACGACCAAGTTGAGATCATGTGCAAAGCAGGATATGTGCCATAAATTTAAAATTCTAATTGCACACTTTATGTTAGCTCCATTATCTCTGTTACAGCAGCACATATTTTATCAGCAATGTTAAACTTTTTTAATACAGCTTTTATCCATATAGATATATTTTCAGAAGTATCTCCTTACTTAAAATTCAGAACACTCAAGTAAAATTGACCGTAAACAAGTATTTTGATCAAAACAATGTGCAGTTGCAATGATTATATGATTATAATAATACCATTCCATAATTCAGGAAATGATTATAGTTTATACCACAAAATTGATTTGTGTATGATTCCAAAGATTCTTTTTGACAGTATGTCTACTGTTTATCCAGAAATTCCACCTGGGAAATATTTAAAAATTTTTAAATAGAATTTGAAAGCATAAACCAGCAAGGCACAAGCAACCAAACTACAGTGAGTAAATTATTAATAAAAAGAGTAAATAATAAAAGTAGCAATTAATGAAAAATTAACGTAGATTATATACAAAAGTTAAAACGTAAAGTTGAGGTTAAAACGTGAAAAATAAAAATTGTGTTTACATCTCAAAAACCATACATCAATAAATTTAACAAACTGTTAGAAAAATTTTAGAACCTTTTCTTTCGAATACTTATTTATTAAATAATTAAGTAAAACGTACAAAGCTTTTAAAAATCAATATTTACAAAAACGGTTTGGTCGATTTTGATAATCTTGGTTCGCTTAACCTTTCTGGTTAATTCAAACACGCCACTGAAGATGGCGAAAGCTTGACGTCAGCTTTATCACCTCGAAAACTCCAAAGAGAAAAAAGTACTTGCAAGAAATTATTTTTATTGTAAGACTATATGTTATAAAACCTAGATTTTTCTATCTATATTGTAGGAAACTTAGTTGTCGAGGGTAAGATTTTAGTAGCTGATACATCATCATCATCATGACCAGTGACAACCTGTCGGAATAGAATCTCGGTTATACTTGCGTCTTACAGGAAGTTAACTTTGTTTTGTTTAACTGTGCCTTTTGGTTAGTGGTGGGAAGTTTGATTCTTGTAAGTGAGTCGATTCCCTTTGATTCAATCCCTGAAATGAGTAGATTCTTTTTATCGATTCTATGATTCCCCCCCCACTCCTAGTACCAGCGCTTTCGTTTATTGGTTTCTCCCTTTATCCAAATTTCCCGCCATAATTCAAATTAATTTTCAATTCTAGTATTTATTTACCACAACGAAAAAGGAAATATGGTATTAATGTTAAGTATATAAATTGTATCAAATCGTTATATTTTTAGAAAGAAAAATAATGATGATAGTAATACTAACGAAAGCCTTATTTCTTTGTACTTAGTGTAATTGTATATAATTTNTTATTACCTAGGTATCTTACATATGAATCAACCAGCATTTACATTATTATAAGAATTAATAAAAAGTAAGATATAAAAAATATGTTAACTGATTGCTGAATTATATAGGCACAAATCCACAGACGGGCGTGCACATTACCACAGGTGCAGAGTTGGGCCTATCACTTCTCAGAATCCACCGACACTCTGACACTCTGACAGTTCCAGTTTCACAACAGATTGCCAATGGCTCCTGAGAATCACCTACCCCAGATAATTGGGTTAGGCTCTGTGCGCTGCCAACATCTAGGTCTTTCAGTGCACTGAAATGAAATAGCTGTTGGCAGTGCACGATGCAATCAGTGATACAATCACACTCTCATTCACTCTTAAATACAATCATTCCTATTTACATAACTTACATACTTACACCATTCATTCAGTTAGGGCGGTAGAGTAATTCACTTAAGCTTAATTTTTTAAAAACTTAATTCTCAACTTATGAAATCTAGTTCCAATCTAAATAGCAAACCAACGTATGTACCTTCAGAGTTTTAAGTATTATTTCCTCTAAAGCATATCTTTATTTTGATTAATAAATAACATTTGTGCAATTTTTGATGAAGTCAGACGGGACCTTTTTTGGGTACATATCTGACCCCCTTTAGAGAAAATTCTCTCACAGGGAACAGAGGTTGCAGGAATGCACAATATTTTTAAAGCTAGATTATACAAATTAGGAAATAGACTTTTCCTATCGTTCCACCAAACCATAGGGTCAGTGCAACGGTCCACAAGAGGTTCTGCTATATATTTATCGACTTTGATAATAGCAGAAGCTTTTGGATCTTGGACCGTTCTCATAATGCACACTGACTCATCAAATTCTTGCCAAATTTTGGATGTACTTGGCTGATTAATTGAACTTTCAGCTCGTGACTGTGGCTCAGCTCGGACAACAGCTTGAATTTTTTGAATTATTAACTTCTTTGTATTCACAAACTGGGATTCTTCCCCAAATCCTTGTTTTTTGAACCGGGGGTCAAGAAAGATTGATTGACTTACTACATCATTCCTTTCCCGGTTCCCAAAACGATGACTTAAGGATTCGAGTAATTTATCCCCTAACAGTTCAACTGCTTCACTTAAGCCTTGCATCCTCAAGCTGTGTCTTGTACACCTTACCAGGCCACGAGCTAAAACAGAGGTTTTAGATAAGGATTTTTTTTTTCGGAAGAAACTTCCTCTGTGACTTCTGAAAAAATTTGCAGAAGCTCTATAGCTTCTTTGATGATTTTCCAATCATCATTCTCTAATAATAATTTGGGATTGCAAATTGCTAAAGCCGAGATTACCGCTTCCTTATTTCTGTAAACGCGATCCAACATTTCGAATGTTGAATTCCAACGAGTTGAAACATCTTGTTTTAATTTTAAAGCTTTGATACCTAAACTCTTTTGGATTTCTTCTAATTTGGCCATGGCATTTGTACTTTGTTTAAAATATTGCACGATTAATTTGACTTTGCCAACTGTGCCACCTGTAGAATCTTTAACCGACTCCTGAACGACCAAGTTAAGATCATGTGCAAAGCAAGATATGTGCCGCAAATTTAAAATTTTAATTGCACCCTTTATATTCGCGCCATTATCTGTTACGGCAGCACATATTTTATCAGCAATGTTAAATTTCTGTAATACTGATTTTATCCATGTAGATATATTTTCAGAAGTGCTCCTTACTGAAAATTCGGAACACTAGTAAAATTGACTGTAAACAACTATTTTGATTAAAAAAAGGTGCAGTTACTGCATAAAAATTTACTGTATTTATGTTAGTCCAACCATCTGCAGTCAGACAAACAGACTGTGTGTTTTCTAATAACCATCCACCATAATAATCCACCAATACAACTAAATTGGTCTATTTTGCTTAACCACCTGTCATCATCCTTTATCATGAAACAGTTGTAGAACATCTATGCTCATTAACTTGTATGTGCAAACAATGTATTCTTGCACGTTCTTATACACTCTCTGAAGGAGTGAAAACATATAGTCGGCTGGTCGAACATCAAAGCTTCGGGACTTATTGGAAGGATCACAATCTCTTCTGAAGAATACTCATCATCTGGCGGATCAGGATCCGCAACAGTAAGATTACTGTGAATCATTTTGAATCGACAGTGGGGCTGATATCAGTAACCACCAAAATCGCACCTGTCATCATAGACATCGAAATTATCCGAGTCAAAGGGGTCGATGTCGCCACTGCTTGGAGGGGGTTCCCCTTTTTCCCTCTTCTCAACTGTTTTCTTCCATAACTTTTGCCATGTGGGGGGAGTAATTGAATGGTATGAACTACTTTGTAAAACAAACACTTTATTAATAATTATTATTACTTTATTAATAAGATTTGCTTCAAAATATATGCTGTTTGTCTTTTTTCTCTTTCTCCGCTCACATATCGTAGTCAACTGTTATAACTCGGCCATTTTTTCCCACTCACTAGTGCTCTCTTAGGACCCGGAGGGCAATTGGTCTGAGATGCTCTCTTCCCACAATTCGGCCATCCAGGAAATCCATTCATGGGACATCATCATTTGAAGCTTCTTCTTACAAAGGATCCTTCTCGGATGCTAAATCTTCATCTGATAGATCTATGTTGCTTGCAGACTCCTTGAATTCTCACATTACCGCTGTTCCTTCTACATATGATTCCCCCCTCGCAAATAAGAACCTATTGTTTTGACCACCGTCGGCCACCGATCTTAATTCTAACATTCTATTGTAATGTTTAAGGTCTTCTTGTAATACTAATAAAGCTTTGATTCTACCTAATTTTCCCTTCACACACAATCTCTCAAAAGAAATTGCAAATAACTTCTGAATTATTAAGGGAGAGGTATTCATCGCTTCTCTCATTCATCTCTTGGGCGTTTTGCCAATCCTCAAGAGTGATTTGATCAATTTCTTTTACTCTCTTTCTATTAAAAATCCACAATTTAAGGACTTAGCAAACATTCGATATGCTTTTCATCGAAACCTCTTTCTAACGCCGTGAAGGATTCTTCCAATTTAACTTTAACGAAATTAATTAATTTTTGAACATCTTCCATTACACTTTTTAAAAGGATAGTTCCTACTCACAGTAAGTTGTTTTGCAACGATCCGGATTTCGAGCCTTTTAGCTCATCATCAGGTTGAAGGACTTCTACAACCACGTCTCTCGACATGAATTGCCAAAGTGAACCGCTGATACCTCCGCCAACGCGACGTTCCAATTATCAGCTGATTTTTTTAATGACGCTCAATTTGAACGTGCGAAACGCGGAAATTATAACACAAATAAATATTAGAATAATAAATACTTAATATTACTATAAATTACTATAAAAATAATAACAATTAAAATAATTAGATTAATTATTTGGATGTTTGATATTATTTATGTACATATTTAAAATGGGAGGTAGATCAAAATCTGTTATATTATTAATGCATTTATCACCATGTTCAATTTTACATTTTTTAATTTCAAATTTCTCAAACCAATCTAGTTCTTTCCCTTTGTTGAAACTATGTAACACTCTTGTATTTAAATTTGAATTGAAATTATGTTTTGTTTCTTTTAGATGGTCCTTAAATTCCGAAAATTTGCTCGATTTAGGCAAGTGTTCTTTTACTCTTGTTTTTATTTCTCTACCGCTTTGTCCTATATATTTAATATCACAATCATTACAATTGAGTTGGTAAACCCCACTTTTTGCCAAGTTGTCTACTTTGTCTTTAGGTTTTGAGAGGATGTTTTTAAGTGAACCCGTACTTCTAAAAGCTATTCTAAAACCTTCTTGTTTAAAAATTTTACTAACTTTTTGCGATAATTCACCAATGTATGGCAAACAACGGAAACCTACTGATTCATTTGTGGTGGGGTGACTGAGTCCTATTGTTGATTCGTTTAAAGTTAATTTTTTTATTCTTTTAACTAGCAACCTATCAATAAATATTTCTTGATACCCGTTGTTTTTTGCTAAGGTTTTAATAGTTTTTAATTCTTTTTTATAGTTATCAGGTGTTAGCGGAAGTTTTAACATCCGGTCTATGAGCCATCTTCCATTATTGGAATGGCATGGCATTGTAAAAGTGTCTTTCTATCTGCCTCCTTCCGAGCTATACTTAAAACTCGGTCTGAAAATGTTTCATCAAAAATATCTTGCCTTTCCTTTATTAGTTTGTTATTCGCATCTTCTTCTAATTTAAGTTTGTACCCCACTGTTTATGAAAAATTGCGAAATATCCTCCCATAATGGTCTACAACGGATGGTTTGGTGTAATCTCCTTGTGGGCCTTGACTGGCACCTCCCATTTCCCGTAATGTTTCCACAAAATAACCATAAGTTATTGGCGTCAAACAATCCCTGGACGAATCATGCACTGCATTTTCTTTTATGGAAACTTTTCCTTAATTTTAAAAATAATTTTCGAAATTTTTTTTATTTGAGTTAAAATCATTTTGTGCTGATCTTCTCCAGTATATTTTTCGCTCAGCATGTTACCATGTTCAATTAAGTAGGGGTCTTTTAACAAAAATGACCGAGTATTACCCTCTCTCAATTTCGGCATTTCAACAGTTTTGAAATAATCATTCACAGTTTGGAGGTAACGACACAGCTCAAACTTTCACTTTCCTCTCTACTAATGTGAAAGGAAGTTGTGGTATAACTGTGTTTAATAGGCGAGTCATTAGGTCTGCAAGTATCGGGCCTAGGTTGCTACCCATGGTTATGCCAAATAGTTGTTTGAAAATTGATTGTTATATGTAAAATACAGTGAAATCCGGTTATCTGCAAAAAGACATCCGATTAATAATAAACCTTTTATTTATTTTTTTTAAATTGTTGAATAATATTATTGATTGCCCCCCTGACCAATTTTGGGCTCATAGTAAGGAGGGATTTATGCTTATTCGATAACTTTCTTCACCCCTGCCTTATCCTATCAAATCCAGGTAATTTACAGTTGTTAATCTTCTCATCAAATTCGACCCTCAAATCATCTTTTATTTCTCTGGACCAACGAAAACGTTTGCCTTGCTTTAATCTGGGGGCATGTCTTCTCTTTCTCCCAGGGGTTTCACCGCGGGGTATCAGAATTTCCTCTTCACTCAATATATCTGTTTCCCCCCCGTTCATAATCAGGGCTATGTCGTACTGTGTATGAGCAACCATGTTGTGGAGAAGTATTTAAATTTTGCTGATTTATAAAGCCTTCCTGAAAGCTTTGTGGTGGGGTTTGGGGAAGAACTGTGGAGGGTTGAGTTTCTAAATCCTCCAAATTTTCTACTACAATACTGTCAAGAGGCTGTCCCTGAATGTTTGAATTCTACCCTAACGTGTAAATAGCTTGCTAATCCGGCCGAGATGTAACGCAGAAACAGGATGCCTATAAAATTTTAAATGGGTTTCCTCCCGATGGCCTAAAGCAGGGGTGCTCAAACTTGAACTGCTGGCGATCTACCTCAATATTTTTAGACTACTTACGATCGACTCTGAGAGGCTGCAAGTGTGTGTGATGCAGGGTTGTCGTACATACACGATACACCCTACCTACCTAGGTAGGGTGTACCGTAGCATATATAGATATTAGCTTTCTGCACAATATAGGTACATTATTTTAGTCAAGGTTTGGGTTAGGTTTAGTTAGGTTCTTCTCTACAATATCAATGAAAAAACTCATAGTTATTCAAAATTGCGAGTTTATTGGTTGTTACAAAACAAAAGAGTTACATATGGTGTTAAACTTAACTAAGGAGTGGCTTTGGATGTTGAAGCGTGGCACTGCATGTCCTCAGCATACTTTTCATAAGATGGTACGTAACCACTGAGTGCTAATCGCAAGCATGATGACATATGATCGTCAGTTAGTCGATTGCGATATTTTGACTTAATTATCTTCATTTCAGAAAATGCAGACTCGCACAAGTAAGTTGACCCAAAAAATGCCGTCAGTTGAAGGGCGATTTGCCTTACATTCGGATATTTATCTTCAGATATAAAACACCAGAAATTTGTATCAGATGCTGTAGCTTTGAGATGTATATCTGATATAATCTGCACCAACTCATTTTCAACAGAACATGAGTTCATATTAAACTGACTTGCTATTTCAGTAGCTAATTCCTCAATGTTTTTACATGAAAAAGGATAACTCATAAATGATGCTATATTTTCCAATTTACTGCAATCATAAAAACGCATTTCGAATTGTCCCAAAATATTTGATAATTCAGCCTCATACGTATCATAATTCAACTGAGGAATCCTTGCTTTCAAAGACGGAAAATGTTTCAGATCCTTTCTTTTCAGTTGATCTATCATAAGTTGCAATTTACTTTTGAATGCGTTTACTGCGCTAATCATCTCAATAATAGTTTTTCCTTTACCTTGAAGCTCCAAGTTAACTGTGTTTAAGTGCATTGTGATGTCAGTCAAAAATGCCAAATCAGTCAGCCATTTTTCGTTTTTCAAAATCTGAGTGTCATCATCTCTTGGAAGTTGTGGTATAACTTATGTGTAATAGATGTGTCATAATTATGTCTGCAGGTATCGTGCCTAGGTTGCTACTCATGGCTATGCCAAATAGTTGTTTGAAAATTGATTGTTATATGTAAAATGCAGTGAAATCCGGTTATAACGATATTGAAAGGACCAGGCAAAATTGATCGTTATACCCGGAATGAGAGGGGGGAGGGAAAAAAAAAACAGTTTGTACACAACTAAACAATGAGTTGTCGGAAGCCTAAATTCCACTTGTATTTAGACTTTGTAGGGCTAGTTGTCTAATCGTATGTTGATGAGACAAAATTTTGAGGAAGATTCTCCGCCTTTGATGGTATTGTAAAACGTAATCACTTCTGGCTTTTGCTGCTCTCTGGTATTTTGATCAATGACATTAGTTTCGTGGAGTGATGAAACGAGATTCACATTTTCCCCCTTCTTTGGAACGTATGAAACCAAAATGTTACCGTTGTTGAAGCCGAACAAGCTGCTGTGTTGAGCCCTCCCTCTGACATTGACAAATTGTCTGGTATCTCTTTTATTTATTTATTTATTTTTTTTTTTAATTGTGCCAACATAAGACATCCTCTTTTTTTCTTCAAATAATTAACGAGATCTATGTCTGTGACCCAATTATCAGTGGTTATGTTGCGCCCTGTCTCAAAAAGGGGTTCGACAATTCGTTTCACCACTTCACTTGGCTTGTTGCTGACCAAAAATGGCCCTTCAGGCTGTTTTCGTGTGTATATCTCCATGTTGTAGGTTTTTACAGCTTCCTTACTGCAGCTGCACATACATTGGCGGTAGCTCAGTGGTGCAGGGGGGGGGGGTGTTGAAGGGAGAGACAAGTGATGGTCGGTGAGGAGGTGAAAGGTTATTTATAGGTGTTATGTTGAGCGCCACGGTATTTTTGGGGAAGGATAAATACCGAAACCAGGGAATAAAAAGGAAAAGAAGAGTATAACAATAGGAAGAAAGGGAAAAGGAAGGGTAGCGATGTAGCGCTTCTGGCTCTCTTCTTTCTGATGGCGCTTCCAACCAGGGTTATGATGGGAGCTAAATGATGAAGTTCTTCCTGCTTCTATCCGAGTTAATTCATTAACACAAGCAAGATATCTTAAGGTATTATCTTACTTAGGGTTTAA